CGCTCGCTCGCTCGCTCGCGCGCCCTCTTGGTCCTCCTGCCCCCTCCCTCTCTCTCTCTCTCTCTTTCTCCCCCTGTGTGTTGGCCTGGGCTCCGTTCCCTCCCAAACAGAGACGCCCCCGCCGGTGTCGACCCCCCTGGATGACAGTGTTCTCTTCAATGACACGGAGGCCCGCCCGGACCAGCCGATCATCAATGTCGACGCCCTGCGCGAGCATTTCTCCCGCGAGGGGCGCCTGACCACGGCCCAGGTCCACCGGATTGTCGATGCCGCCACGCAAATCCTCACCGCCGAGCCAAATGTCCTGCACATTCCCGCTCCGATCACCAGTGCGTCAAGATCAGGCCCCTGCCCTGGGCACTCCCCCCCCCCCTCCCCTCCCGCCTGGAGCGATGCTCTTTGGCGCCTCTCCTGCCGCCCCTTCCTCCGCGCTCCCCTCCGTCCTGCCCCGTCTTCGGCCCCTGCTAATGCCCCCGGATTGCGGCCAGTTTGCGGCGACATCCACGGCCAGTACTATGACCTGGTCAAGCTGCTGGATGTCGGCGGTCACCCCTCCGAGACCCGGTATCTGTTCCTGGGTGACTATGTTGATCGTGGGTACTTCTCGGTGGAGGTGCGTGTCGATGCATCGATCGATCGTGTCCCCCGTCTCTGCTCACCTGGCTCGCTGACTTCCCCCTGCCCCTGTCGCCGCTCCTTGTTGTGTCTTCACCTTTTCCTGTTGACTGGTTCGCCTCGGGGCTTCCTTCTTTCCTTTTTTTTTTTTGCTGCCCGGCCCCCTCTCCTGGGCGTCCTCGCACATGCATGCCCCCCTCTGCCCGACCGCCTTCCCGCCCTCCCGCCCTCCCTCTCCTCCAGTGTGTCCTCTACCTCTTTGCCCTCAAGATTGCCTACCCGCAGAATGTCTTCCTCCTGCGCGGGAACCATGAGTGCCGGCACTTGACCGACTACTTCACCTTCAAGCTGGAGTGCATCACGAAGTATGACGAGATGCTGTATGACTTGCTGATGTTGGCCTTCGACGCGCTTCCCCTGGCGGCGGTCGTCAACAAGCAGTTCTTCTGTGTGCACGGCGGCCTGTCGCCATCGATTCAAACCCCGGCCGATGTGGACAAGGTGCGCTCGGAGGATGGCCACCTTTCCCCTCTTACCTGGCCTTTGGCGGCCTTGCCACGCCCTTGCTAATGCGTGACCTTCCCCCTCGCCCTCCCTCCCCCCCCCCGCCCTCCTCCTCCCTGGCGTTCGACCTCCCGGATCTCAGATCGACCGCTTCCGCGAGCCGCCCAGCTCCGGCCCCATGTGTGATCTCCTTTGGTCCGACCCGTCGGAGGACTATGATGAGAGCGTCTCCACCGACTCCTATGACCACTTCCAGCACAACTCCACCCGCGGGTGCTCCTATTTCTACACGTACGCCCCCTGGCCCGCTGGGGGCCAGCCTCGCCTGATCCCCCACTCGCGGCTCCCTCCCGTCCGCGTCCTCCTCTAACCTGGCGGCCCTCCGGGCTCCCCTCACTGTGGCAGGTTCGCCGCCACCTGCGCCTTCCTCGAGCGGAACAAACTGCTGTCGGTCATTCGCGCGCACGAGGCCCAGGACTCCGGGTACGTGCCCCCTTTCCCTGGACTCCCCTCTGCCGGCCCCTCCCTTCCCTCGGCGCCCTTTCGCGTCCCGAGCCCGTTCTTTTGTCACTAACAAGGCAGGGGCGCCTCCCCCCCCCCCCTCTCCTCTCCCTCGCGCTTGCCCAGGTATCGCATGTATCGGAAGAACCCGACCACCGGCTTCCCCTCTCTGATTACGCTCTTCTCGGCGCCGAATTATCTGGACGTCTACAACAACAAGGGTACCCCCCCCCCCCCTGCGCCAGTTGCCCCTGTGTCCATCTTGACCACCGTGCTGACCCCCCAGCTCTCTGACCCTGCTTTGCAGCGGCCATTTTGAAGTACGACACCAATGTCATGAACATCCGCCAGTTCAGCTTCTCCCCCCATCCGTACTGGCTGCCGAACTTCATGGACGTCTTCTCCTGGTCCCTGCCCTTCGTGGCGGAGAAGAGTGCGTGCTCTAAGACCGGTGCCGGGGTTTTTTTTTTTGCCTGGCCGGCCTGTGCGAGCCAGGATGCCTGATGCCGATGCCTGTACTCACGCTGCCCTCTTCTTCTCTCTCTCTCCCTCTCCCCCCCGCCCCCGCTCCCACTCTCGTTTTGCCTGTCCCTCCGTCTTGTGGGGGACTTTGTTGCAGTTTCCGACATGCTTGGGAGCGTGCTCTCGGTGGTGACGGAGGACGAACTCAAGCAGGAGCTTGCCCAGGGGCCGGTCAGCCTGACCCCCGGGCAGTCGCCCGGCTTGCCGTCCATCGTGCTGCCGAGCGAGGCTGGCGACACCGCCGGCGGCGAGACCACCACCGAGGAGGCCCTCGTGTCGGACAAGGACCGCGAGGCCCGGCGCGAGGCCATTCGGTCGAAGATCATGGCTGTGGCCCGCATGTCTCGGGTGTTCTCGGTCATCCGGTGCGCCAATTTTACTTTTGACCTCCTCCTCCTCCGTCGCCCTGTCTCCCCTCTCCCTCCGGCGTGCGGGAGGGGGGGGAGCCTGGGTGAAACCTGCCGCGCCATGTGGCACATCGCCTGCCCTTTGCCCCTACTCACACACACACACACACACACACACACACGCATATGCCCTGGCGCGCACATGCCACAGCGAGCAGCATGAGAGCATCGTCCAGCTCAAGGGCCTGTACGGGACTGGCCAGCTGCCGCAGGGCCTCCTGGCTCAAGGCAAGGCTGGTATTGATGCGGGTGCGTGGGGGGCTCCTTTTTTTTTCCCGCCGGCACACATGCACTCCTCTCGCCACCCGAGCATTTCGTCAGCAAGGGTTGGGGGGGGGGGGGGGGGGGGGGCGGGCCCAACCGCCTGCAAAAGGGTCCCCCGAGAGACGTCCCCTAACCCCGGGCCTCGCCACTCGGGGCGGGGAAAAAAAAACAGCCCTCCAGGACTTCAAGTCCGCCCAGCAGGCTGACAAGCCGAACGAGGCGATGCCCCCTCGTCGCGACGACTTGGAGATTACATCGGCCGTTACGGCCATGCGCCTGGGTCGGCGCGGCAGCACCGGCGCCTGCAGCTCCACCGATAACCTCCTGCTGGCAGCCCAGCTGCAGCAGCAGCAGCAGCTGGGCGCCGCCGGGTCGGCAGACTCCCCGGACTCCGCCGGCGCCGATGCGCCCCCGTCCATCGCCACGGCGGTCATTTCCCTGGACTCGGAGATGTCCGAGCCCGCCGACCAGTGAACAGTCAAAGAGGCGCGCTTGGCGGCGGGGCAGGCCCCAGGGTCGCCCGCTCGTCCTGCTTCCTCCCTCCTCTCCGCCACTTCGTCCACCTTCTCCGCTGGTGCTCCCTCCCCTCTGTCGCCTGGAGCACCGCTTTCCCTTAGTTTTCATCCCCCCTCCATGCCACAATACACACATTTCCTCCTCTGCTGGGCGTGGTGCCGTGTGCATATGTGTGCCCGATTTCTGCATGTTGTCAGGCGGGGGGGGGGGGTGGCATACACCACTCGCGGGCGTGCCGCGCGGCTGCCGGCCCCCCCCCCCCCCCCCCCTCCCCCCGGGGGGGAACACG